AATAATAGGTAGTAATATCATCAGATCATATAATATAAAATCTGTCTTATTGCGTCACACCTATCTTGTTTCATTTTTTACTATTTAATCTGAGAATTTACCTTTTTTTAAGATGTAAAATCTAATGAGTGATATTAGAGGATTAGGATTAGTAATATCACATGATCTGAAAATGTCAACTACTATAAAAATTTTATTAAATTTTTTATAATAAACCATTACAATTTTTATTATATAAAGTCACGTTATAATTAAGTTTATTATCCATTAAATTTCTGGATATTTTTTTTTATAGAAATAAAAATGATACATTTTTATAATTTTTTGATATACTAATTTAACAATAAGATTAATACAGGATAAATTTTATTTATTAATTTCTATAAGATGAAATTTTAGATTACTGCTTAAATTTTAAAGTAGTTCGCTGAATACAGTATAAGTCGATAATAAACTTGTTACTAACTACGTTTTTTAGGATTACTGGAACATATGTAAGTCAGATAGGTAACAAGAGTTTCAGAAAACTTCACATATAGGAATTAATATCTGAAAAGTTGGCAAGTTTGATATGTTGCAATCAATAAGATCATTGACAGGATTATTTGAATATTTTTAGCATTCATAAAATCCCACTGCTATACTGCTATTTCTTGGTAGTAAAGTTTTAATAGTTCAGAATAATTAGATATGAAAAGATGTAATTCTTAACTTGATATTATTGAATATTAAGTAAGATATACTATTATTATTTTATAAAAATATCCAGTTATTAATTCTCATATATTTCATCTTAGTTCAGAAATCTTGATATTAATAACAGCATAAATGTATCATTTTTGCATCCAAGTCAAGTACTTTTATTTCAAATGCCTATAACTTTATCTTACAGCTATTTTACATATAATCTGTGCATAAGGATTTTCCTACATAAACCATAATAATGAAATTAAATATAAAATATAACAAAATAATACATATCAAACTTAACATACATTATTATCATTAAGAGGATAAGAGATTATAGTGGATATAGAAAGTCTTGATACAAATGCTATATTTAGACATATAGCAATATTAAAAGCTATTTTAACTTCTATTCATCAGAATGATAGTGAATTACAATATATAAAAAGTCCATAAGAATATTGAAAATTCTATAATAAAAAGCAAATTAGAATAGATTCACTTATAAAGTTATTCAGCAACACTTATTGGAGGATCATCAACAACTCCATTATTAGATACTTCAAAAAAATTTTGAAGTTAGTTAATAATATACTCATATATGAGTGAGACCATACTAATAATATACACATTTTCAGTTTATTGTCATTGTTTAATTAGAACTAAAATTATATCCAGATGACCTGTAATTGTGAAGAAAAGTATTATAATTTTTTATCATTACTTTTAAGCTAATTTGGAAAGGCAAACTGCATTCTATACAAAATTAATTTAGGTGATTTTGTTAAAAAGTAATACACCTATACACTTATATACCTATCTGCTCTCTTCTAATGGTTTTTTTGGTAATTTTAGATAATTATGCAAAGTTTATTAAGTCTATCCAAATTATTTTGCCAGCTAAAAATTGTTTGAAGTACATGTATAAGGCATTTTTAAGAGTAAGTGAAAGAAAAATGTGAAAATAATAATTAATTAATCAGTTTTTATTGTATTATTGATGATCTGAGGTATTCCTAAATTGATAGACTGATTTGTCTAAAAATAAAAAATCAGCAAGTTAACATTTCAATAAAACAATCAAGGGATTGATAAGCATACATACTTAACTCTTTTTTGTTACTACATCATTTCACGCACTTTACATTTTTATTTAACTTTCTTCTTTTTTAATATAAATAGATTATTGTTTTGCTTTTAATTTTTAATTTCTAACTCAAAAATACTAAAATCTGAATTTATAATATATTGATATATGTTTTTAATATTATAGTTACGATGATAACAGAAATGATTTTTTTTTCTTTAAATGGTAGTGAAACTTTCTTTTTAAATAATTTTGCAAATAATTTTATTGGTATGATTAATATTGTAAAAAATCAATCAAACCTATACTGTCAAATGATTTGTTTAATTAGCGGTTAAAAATTACATATTGCAAATCAGTTTAAATTTCATTTTTAAAGCAAAAAATATTGCTTTTTTATTTTCACAAAAAATATTTTTCCTTTTTTTTTTAGCAAAATAATTTTAAATGTTAATTATTGAACTCTCTTCTCTGATTTTATTATTTACCTCAAAATCATGATACTTATATAAAATAATCTTTGCTAAAATATATAAATATAGTTTTTATAAAAGTTATTAAAATATTTATTATATAATAAAAATATATATGATTTTATTTATACTTATAAAAAGATATATTTTATATATTTTATTAATAAAATATCTGGATATATTCTTTGTATGAATATGATTGATCATGTTATTTTAAAATATTGTGATTATGTCTAATATAAATTTGAGTTTAGGGTAATTATTCTTTATATGAGTATGATTAATCATATTGCCTCAAAATTTTGCGATTAATGCCTTATATAAAACTTTATTTATGAAATTATTCGATCTTTGCTAATATTATTTATATTTTAAATTTTATTTTAGATTCATTTTTGTGAGATTTTAAACTTATATTCAACATCTTTTAGTGAAGAGATATGTTTTACAAATATTGTTAATAAGCATCTATATATGACTAAGCATGATCTTTACTAATGATATTATTTTTTTAAAAGTTCTTTAGATATACCTTAAATATTTATGATTTGCTTTATCACATGTACTAATATTATTGATCATAATGAGTACATATTTATATCATAAACTGTCAAAAAGAGAAGCCATAAATCAAATAGGCTTATCATTAATCTTGAAATTCATGGTATTTGATCTGTCTCTCTCCACTTTTTTCTTCAGATTTTTTATTAATAATAATTTTATGAAATTAATTATACACATAAGATAAGACCAGCTATTTTATCATAATCAAAATTAATTAATATACACGTATTGAATAGACTTATAAATTATAACTTAAAAATAAAAGGTATTAACTTAAATTATATTCTGTATCTGTAAATATTATTATGTGATTTCAAGTATATTATATAATAATATAAAGAAGTAATTATGGTCAGAAACAATTAAGATTGATTTTATTTTGTAATTCAATCTATCTAAAAAGGCAAGAACTTTTAACAAATTTAAAAATAACAAAATCTCAACCCGAAAATAGTTGCTTGTAAAAGTGTTAATAGTATGATCGAAAAAACTTTTTTTTAAAAAAGTATCTTCAAATTAAATGAACCTGGATTAGGTAAATTTCAGTTATAAATAGAAGGGCACTTGTCTTTTTTGGACTAAATTCAAAGCCCCTTAAAATATTTAATTGTCTTTTAAGAATAACAAAAAAGAGTGATTATCAATTAGGAAATATTTAGTCCTAGATCTACATCTCTTATTGTTTTATCGGGAGACACACCATAACAAGAAAAGAATTCTCCCCCGTTAAAAAAGAGTAATTTCTTGCATAATACAAATTTCTTGGCATTTCCTATTTTCTTTTAATTTTAAATCGATCTGTTCTAAAAAAGAGTTTTTTTTTCTATATAAGCTTCAAATCTTGAGGGTAAAAAATTTCCTCACAGCATTCATTCACTATACAATTTAAAAAAATAAAAATCAAAAAAGAAATAAAAGGAACAAAATGGTCAAGTTTATTGCACTATTTTTCATTCTTACGGCAGTTACGTATAATTATGCTGCTCCTACTCTCAATCTCAATCTTGACGCGCTCACAGTCACATTAGATGAAAATACCATCTGTACATTCCTTCCACGAACATGGGGAGGCGACATCGGCGCAAGTGAAAGTGATGCTGTCGCATTTTGCTCCCAAGAAAACACTCAAGCTCCTGGTGCAAATCCCATGCCCACCGGATTTATCCAGTCATATCACTATTTGGCCGAAGATGGATACGTTCAATATACCGGTAGAATTGATATATCAGCTTACGGTTTGAGTTCAACCGACGGAGGCGGCCAATATGACAACGCGGGTGGTGGTTCTCCTCCCGGTGCAATATGTGGTGGATACGAGAAATTTGTGAACTTAATTGAGCCTGATATTGGATTATACTGTATTCGTTGCTGTACTGATGCCGACAAATGTGACACCGGACATAGCACTGATGGTTGTGAATCTGTCATTCCCGGCGATTACTCTTAAACTCTTAAAAGATTGGACATTTATTTAAGTTTTATTTAAAAATTAATTAATTGTTAATAATTTATTTATTTCTTGATATAATATTTCCTATTTCTGTTAGCACCTTTTCTACTAGTAATTAAAGAAAAGGTATAATTTGATAATTTGATAATAAAATAAATTTTTTTGATCAAAGACTATTTTGCATTTGTGTGACAGCTGACCGTTGCGCAATTGTTTACAGTTCCCTAAATGGAAAGAAGTTTACATTTGAAAAACGATTATTTTGAATCAATAGAGTTGTAATTTGGCTTAATGTCATACTAATAAGGTTGCTAACTAACCTCATCTTAGATTTAAGATATTATTTCACCACTTATTTACTTTTTTCCGAATTTCGCAGATTTTAAACAGGTTTTTTATTTACCTTACTAATATCAAGGATATCAAGGATAATGCAAATATGAAATTGCCTTTCGCAAAGAACGTATTATTCCAAAAGATACAAAAAAAAAAAAAATAACTAAGAACGTGTTGTTAGTTAAATTATAAAATCGTACCGTGATCTCATTCACAATTCTAAAGTCGTTTCTTATCGATTTATCATGTCGAAACAAAAACAAAACAAAAATTCAATCACTTTTTACAAATGTATACATATTACACCGTTACGAATCCTTTTAGTTACCACGAATTCATATATGTCATTGCGAAAGAGAAGCTACCAAAGGAAATTTATAACATTGTTCAAAGTATGAAACTGATGTATGTGGAAATAAAACTAACAACCTTACAACAACAAACCAGGAATGAGCGAACCAAAATGAAGCATTTTCAACCAACAATTGAAATAATTCGGCATGACAACTCGTTCACAGAAAACACATTACAAGAGGACGAAACACGCGAAATTATAATTGTTAACTTATCTATCCCATTCTCGAACAATGTCTCACCGATAATGCGCTAGTAATTCGACCTCCTTGAACCTTGAAAAACACCGTCAACACATTGACAGTTTCTACTCAATACTTTTAACACGAAAGCTCTTCTTCTTCCCATGCATATAGCATAGGATCATCTCAAATCACCGAACACAATAGTAAAGATGGTGGAAATCCCTAGGAGTTCCCTTCCACGTCAGAATCTCTTTTTTTTTAAATCTGATTATATCGTTTCTTGTATCTCATAAGAATTGATGAAAAAGACTGGCTAGTTCTTGCAAAGAAAATGAAACTTAAAAAATCTAGTTAAATTAACAATTTATTGAACTTATCAAAAATGGTAAATTACTATCTGATTGACTCGTGCAATGCATATTAAATTAAAAAAAGTTCAATTCTTTTTATCTTTAATTTCTCAAATTTAATAATAATAATAATAATAAAATGGCTAAGGTTCCTCATGGCGATATCCTTAAAGGTTTATATGCTCAAATTTCAAGACAAGATCAATTATTAAAAATTTATCTTCTATCATTTTATCCAATCATCAATTATGCGATTTGGAATTATTAATTATTAAAAAAAAATTTGCTTTTGAGCTTCTGTCACGATTGTTAATCTGTAATCTGCTTTGCTTTTTTTTTTCCTTTAAAAAAATTTTTTTGTCAGTTTCATTGATTTTTTTCTTATTATTTTGTATATTCAAGATGGAAGCATTGCAAGTGAGATATCAGGAATTAATACTAAATTGGATGATAACATATAAAAGAAAGTTATTTTCACGAAATGATGATGTCATAGTGAATGCAATGATGCCAATAAGTGATCTACTTAAAAAAGTTAATTGAGATTGTAAGGTGATTAAAAAATTATGCAAAGAAGAAGAAGTGGCATTAAAAGGGTTTTTCGATAAAGAAGAAAAGGAGCATATTAATGATTAATGAAAGAATTTAAGGAATCTCAATAATCACAATATATAGTAAAATTTTTTGGATTTATCAAGAAAGAAGTATTAATATATATGGTAATAGAATGGTATAAGTATAAAAACCTTAAAGAGTATTTTTCACAGATACAATTCATCAATGCAAATATTTGAAAGAAAAAGGTTTCTTGTTTATCAGTTGTGATGTATCTGATGATGAAGATGGTGCTCGCTATAATCCTTCCTTTATGCCTGAAGGTTCTAAAGAAGCATGGTAAATAAGCATAATAAATCTTATTTTTTTTGAAAAATTGTTTTTAAAAAAATTCTAAATCAATTTTATTAATAGGGAACATGTAAAACCCATTTTCCAAAGTTAAAGATGATCCATGTTGTGATTGGATTGGTGAATCTGATACTGGTTATTATGTTAAAATGGTTTACACTTTCGTTACCTATTGTTGATTTGAGTTTTAGATTACAATTGTACAAATCACTTCTGAAAGAAGCTCTATTAGGTTTTTAGGCATCTGAATTATCATTTAAAATCATAATGTTATGTTAAAGCTCAGATGAAAAGAGAAATCGCTAATCTTGTGGCTATTATGAATCTTAAATCCCTCACAGATAAATAAGTATCTTACATTATCAACACAGAATTATGCCCGATATTAGAATATTGTTACAATTAATATTAGCATATATTTTCTTTAATATTGCGAAAGATACGAAAGATAACAAGAAAACCAAAGGGATGGATTGGATGATATAGGAGAAAATGCAATGCAGTATATTCATCGTCATAACAAAAATGCGATTTTTATTATTTTTATTATTATTATTCAGCTTTGGTCAGTAAATCATGTGACAACCTAAAATTACGTTAATTATTCATCTGTAATTGCCATTAAGACTCCAAAAATCAGAATTCAGACGGCTGCTTGGATAAAAATGTTGGTGTATGCTTATTCCTATTAACGTTCTATTTACCTAGTCATTTTTTTTATCTAATTTTTTTTTATTTTTATTTTTTTTTTACTTTAGTTTAAATTTTATTTTCATTATTTTTGCTCTATTAATAAAAAAATAAAACAAATTTTTTTTTGTTGTGTAATATTTTGTAAAAAATTATATAAAAATGTTGCTTCCGAGGTCACGTTGCAACTATATACCTCGATATAGAAAATAGAAAATTCGTTATTATCGTTATCACTATCTATTTGAGTTTAGTAATTTAGGAATTTGCTAGAACAGAACTCCGAGCCTAATGTTGAGGCATTTATGTGATTGGTGTCTACCATGTTAGACATACCAATCATTTTCGTTTTGCGTAATTCTTTGTAATTCTTGCTAATAATAAAGATATTGGTTATCGATTAATTTAACTAGCTTAGTTGATGAGTGAGAAAGAAGTTTGGTTATCGTTTACTTAAAAATTTTAGAAGATGAGTTATTTTTGCCAACATTTTGGTTACCCGATTTATTTAACTATTTAAGTCGATGAGCTATTTTTGCCAACTCATTGAGATTTTGGCATTGAACTATTTTAGTCGATTAGTTAACTGTTTCCAATAAATCAACAAAGAGTTAAAAGAAAAAACAATATAAATATATCTCTTTTTCTCCCATCTTTTTTTTCACCGCGATTAAAAAAACAACAACAAAAAAAACCATTCAAAAAAAAAAAAATCAATATAACAAAATGTGCAAAACCTGTACTTGTGGAAATTCTTGTGCATGTGGTTTGACTTGCGCTTGCGGGAAAACCATTCAACGTACCAATACTGATCCTTCTTGCGGATCCAGGTAAAAATTACTTCTCTGTCATTGCTTTTTTTTTGATCATCATGAAAAAATTAATTATTTAGCAAATGCGGATGCGGAGAAACTTGTTCTTGCGCCGCTGGTAATTGTTCTTGCGAAAGCAAAAAATAAATTATGAATTAATTTCTTGGTAAATTACCATACTCAGCATTTTCTAATGAACCAAACTTAGAATTATCTATTTAATATCTTTGAATTTATTTTATAGTTACAATAATAATTTAAATTTTCTATCGTGTTCCTTTTTTTTTGTTTATCGTCATGAATATGTTATAAATATATTTTAATACGATTTTAATCTATATTTGTTATAAAAAAAATACATATAAATTTTGTTAATATTGTTTAATAAAAAAATGATGTTCTTAATATTATTTGAAATTAAATCTTTGCTCAGTTTAAATTTTCCATTTCAACGTGATAAAAATCATATTAATACATAAATATACATAAATAGTAAAATTACGAACTGTCTAATACTGTTTAACAATAAATATTTATGTTTTGTAAATTCATGCAAGAGAGGTTCAGATAATTGTGTAGACTCAGACACAGATGGTTTTTTAGAGAAATAATCAAAACGAGTTAATTAAGCTTGCTACTTTGTTGCTTGTTCAGTCCTCCATCTGTAAATTCGATATGTAGTTTATATAATTCGATAATGAGTATTTCAACACTCTCAAATTAATCGATTATAAAGTAATGGAATATTTTCATGGTTTGCGTTGAACGAATTATTTTTCAACATTCAAAGTTGCAATTCCACTCTTATATAACAGCACATATATTATCTAATAATTTTGTCATTTTGACATGGACAGGACGGGACGGAATATTCCGGGACGCGTTCAAGAATTTTAGCAACGTCCGAGATATTGGGACTTTAAACTATTAATTCAAATTTAATAAATTTGATGGTAATCGAATTGTAGTTATTTTTAAATCTTTAGCATTAATATTATTAATATTATCGGAAATATGTTTTAATTAAAATTTCTAGGAGAGGACAATGGATGGCACATTAAAATTTTTGCAGGACATATCTCATGTACAACCCCTGAGTACATTTAAACCCGGAAAAAGTATGATCCTAAAAGTTATTTTTTTTCTAGCATAAATTAAAATAATTATAATTTAAATATATTTACTTTCATCAATTAAAAAAAAAAAAATAAAAAATAAAGATATGATAATAATTCCAATTTGAAATTTGCAAAAGTCTTTTGATCGGGACGTCGCACAGATTATCCAGTTTAAATCCAAATTGGGTACATTAAAGTCTGGATGATCGATTTTAATTGTTCTCTTTCAAAAAAAAATTTTTTTTTTAATCCAGTAACGAAATGAAGACGAACAACAAGACTACGCATGCTCAATCCATTCAACGTTTGTGGAATTCTGGGATTAGGGAAGCTGGTGAAACATAAAGACGAACAAATATACCAAGGTATTATAACCTGGAGCACCCCACAAATAACGCTCCGTTCGTCCCAAAAAAATCCACTTCAGAGGATTCTAAAGCTATTGGGTAGTATATTAGAATAAATGCAGTTTCTTCTAGAAAATTAGCATCCAGATTGTCGCTAAGGGGTGCAGATGTGTCCTATAGTACGATTTTGCGGCATTTAGCCAACCTTGGCACTGACAAGAAACGTCCCATTGCAACCCCAATGCTTACAAGGTTGCATATGCAGAAACGCATAGAATAGGCCCCCCAAAAATAATAATGATGACTGGAGACGCACAGTATTTTCAGATGAAACTTACTTTTGGCTATTTAGCAATACTGTGGAATATTGGTATAAGGATCAACGACCAGTTCGTCGCATTCCAAAAGACCAAACAAGAATCAATGCATAGGTGGATTGTGTGATTGAGGCAAAACAAGTCTTAATTGCTTCCGAAAGCATATGACTAGGGAATTCTATGTTGAAATCATAAAAAAGCATCTCCCTGAGATCAAGAGAATATTGCGAAACAATTAGCGGCTTCAACAGGATAATGATCCTAAGCATACAAGCCGCGCAGCTAAGAAATTCTTGCTATAGACGTTATCCAACAGTCCAGACTTTGAACCCCATAGAAAATTTATGGGCAATTGTCAAGAGGAACGTTGAGATGCGGCAGCCACAAAATATTGGGATTTGGAGAGCTTCATGAAGGAGGAATGGTCAAAAATTCCTCAGGACATTATTAAAATTTAGTTGAGTCGATGAAGGAGAGATGTAACTTGTAATTGAGAAAAATGGGGATCATATTCCCTATTAATTTTTTTTTAATAAAATCTCCTCGAATGAATACCTTTTCATGTGATTTAGCGCAATCGTTGTGAAGTTATGCTAAAAAATGTTTGTCCAAAGACTTTTGCACCAGACTGAACTTTTATTCGGTAATGACCTGATCATTTGACATTTAAGGATTTGTCTAATTAG